CCTTGTATACTACTGCAAGAATTACTCAAGCATAATTCTAATCAAATTTTGCTCACAATAATTCAACATCAAACTTCTACGCTATTCTAAAAATCCTCCATCTCTAGCCTGCTACTCTAGTCTGAAGCAAACATTTCCTCCTTCTCTAGCCTGCTACTCTAGTCTGAAGCAAACATTTCCTCCTTCTCTAGCCTGCTACTCTAGACTGAAGCAAACATATCCTCCTTCTCTAGCCTGCTACTCTAGTCTGAAGCAAACCTTTCCTCCTTCTCTAGCCTGCTACTCTAGACTGAAGCAAACATATCCTCCTTCTCTAGCCTGCTACTCTAGACTGAAGCAAACATATCCTCCTTCTCTAGCCTGCTACTCTAGACTGAAGCAAACATTTCCTCCTTCTCTAGCCTGCTACTCTAGTCTGAAGCAAACATTTCCTCCGTCTTCAGCCTGCTACTCTAGTCTGAAGCAAACCTTTCCTCCTTCTCTAGCCTGCTACTCTAGACTGAAGCAAACATATCCTCCTTCTCTAGCCTGCTACTCTAGACTGAAGCAAACATTTCCTCCGTCTTCAGCCTGCTCCTCTAGTCTGAAGCAAACCTTTCCTCCTTCTCTAGCCTGCTACTCTAGACTGAAGCAAACATATCCTCCTTCTCTAGCCTGCTACTCTAGACTGAAGCAAACATTTCCTCCTTCTCTAGCCTGCTACTCTAGTCTGAAGCAAGCATTTCCTCCTTCTCTAGCCTGCTACTCTAGACTGAAGCAAACATATCCTCCTTCTCTAGCCTGCTACTCTAGTCTGAAGCTAGCATTTCCTCCTTCTCTAGCCTGCTACTCTAGACTGAAGCAAACATTTCCTCCGTCTCTAGCCTGCTACTCTAGACTGAAGCAAACATTTCCTCCGTCTTCAGCCTGCTACTCTAGTCTGAAGCAAACCTTTCCTCCTTCTCTAGCCTGCTACTCTAGACTGAAGCAAACATATCCTCCTTCTCTAGCCTGCTACTCTAGACTGAAGCAAACATTTCCTCCTTCTCTAGCCTGCTACTCTAGTCTGAAGCAAGCATTTCCTCCTTCTCTAGCCTGCTACTCTAGACTGAAGCAAACATATCCTCCTTCTCTAGCCTGCTACTCTAGTCTGAAGCTAGCATTTCCTCCTTCTCTAGCCTGCTACTCTAGACTGAAGCAAACATTTCCTCCGTCTTCAGCCTGCTACTCTAGTCTGAAGCAAACCTTTCCTCCTTCTCTAGCCTGCTACTCTAGACTGAAGCAAACATTTCCTCCGTCTTCAGCCTGCTACTCTAGTCTGAAGCAAACATATCCTCCTTCTCTAGCCTGCTACTCTAGACTGAAGCAAACATTTCCTCCTTCTCTAGCCTGCTACTCTAGTCTGAAGCAAACATTTCCTCCGTCTTCAGCCTGCTACTCTAGTCTGAAGCAAACCTTTCCTCCTTCTCTAGCCTGCTACTCTAGTCTGAAGCAAGAAATTCCTCCTTCTCTAGCCTGCTACTCTAGACTGAAGCAAACATTTCCTCCTTCTCTAGCCTGCTACTCTAGACTGAAGCAAACAAATCCTCCTTCTCTAGCCTGCTACTCTAGACTGAAGCAAACATTTCCTCCTTCTCTAGCCTGCTACCCTAGACTGAAGCAAACATATCCTCCTTCTCTAGCCTGCTACTCTAGACTGAAGCAAACATTTCCTCCTTCTCTAGCCTGCTACTCTAGACTGAAGCAAACATATCCTCCTTCTCTAGCCTGCTACTCTAGACTGAAGCAAACATATCCTCCTTCTCTAGCCTGCTACTCTAGTCTGAAGCAAACATTTCCTCCTTCTCTAGCCTGCTACTCTAGTCTGAAGCAAACCTTTTCTCCTTCTCTAGCCTGCTACTCTAGTCTGAAGCAAACATTTCCTCCGTCTTCAGCCTGCTACTCTAGTCTGAAGCAAACCTTTCCTCCTTCTCTAGCCTGCTACTCTAGACTGAAGCAAACATATCCTCCTTCTCTAGCCTGCTACTCTAGACTGAAGCAAACATATCCTCCTTCTCTAGCCTGCTACTCTAGACTGAAGCAAACATATCCTCCTTCTCTAGCCTGCTACTCTAGACTGAAGCAAACATATCCTCCTTCTCTAGCCTGCTACTCTAGTCTGAAGCAAGCATTTCCTCCTTCTCTAGCCTGCTACTCTAGACTGAAGCAAACATATCCTCCTTCTCTAGCCTGCTACTCTAGTCTGAAGCTAGCATTTCCTCCTTCTCTAGCCTGCTACTCTAGACTGAAGCAAACATTTCCTCCGTCTTCAGCCTGCTACTCTAGTCTGAAGCAAACCTTTCCTCCTTCTCTAGCCTGCTACTCTAGACTGAAGCAAACCTTTCCTCCTTCTCTAGCCTGCTACTCTAGACTGAAGCAAACATTTCCTCCGTCTTCAGCCTGCTACTCTAGACTGAAGCAAACCTTTCCTCCTTCTCTAGCCTGCTACTCTAGACTGAAGCAAACATATCCTCCTTCTCTAGCCTGCTACTCTAGACTGAAGCAAGACTTTCCTCCTTCTCTAGCCTGCTACTCTAGACTGAAGCAAACATATCCTCCTTCTCTAGCCTGCTACTCTAGACTGAAGCAAACCTTTCCTCCTTCTCTAGCCTGCTACTCTAGACTGAAGCAAACCTTTCCTCCTTCTCTAGCCTGCTACTCTAGACTGAAGCAAACATATCCTCCTTCTCTAGCCTACTACTCTAGTCTGAAGCAAGCATTTCTTCCTTCTCTAGCCTGCTACTCTAGACTGAAGCAAACATATCCTCCTTCTCTAGCCTGCTACTCTAGTCTGAAGCTAGCATTTCCTCCTTCTCTAGCCTGCTACTCTAGACTGAAGCAAACCTTTCCTCCTTCTCTAGCCTGCTACTCTAGTCTGAAGCAAACCTTTCCTCCTTCTCTAGCCTGCTACTCTAGACTGAAGCAAACATATCCTCCTTCTCTAGCCTGCTACTCTAGTCTGAAGCAAGCATTTCCTCCTTCTCTAGCCTGCTACTCTAGACTGAAGCAAACATATCCTCCTTCTCTAGCCTGCTACTCTAGTCTGAAGCTAGCAGTTCCTCCTTCTCTAGCCTGCTACTCTAGACTGAAGCAAACATTTCCTCCTTCTTAAGCCTGATACTCTAGTCCAAAGCAAGCATTTCTTCCTTCTCTCGGAATTATGGATGGATGTATCCACGATAATTTCGTGGTGAAAGTGATGAAATAGCCTGCTACTCTAGTCTGAAGCAAACATTTCGTCCTTCTCAAGCCTGCTACTCTAGTCTGAAGTAAACATTTCTTTCGTCTCTAGCCAAGTGCAATTAAAAAGTCAAATAATTTACACCGATGCTGCAGTGAGTTCAAACATTATTTCAAGTTGAGGAAAGAGTCAATTCCAACTAGTGCACCCCTTGCATCACACTGTTTAACCTTTTCCTTAATTTCTGTATCTTTATTCAACGATGTGATTATCATAATTTAACCCACGCTAGATCTAATCAAACATTTCACTCATTGGGCACATCTGTGTGGCGGCTTGGAGTATCAGAGAAGGGTCTCCCTTACGTCCCAAGCCCGATAATCATGACGCCACACACAGCACATCTGTAATTAAAGATCAGCTGTTTATCTATCGGCGCACGTGGCATTGCCGGGTTGGCGCGAGCCGCTTCCCGCCCTGCGCCAACCAGCTGACTGCTATCTGCCGACAGACAGGAGTAGATGGGGAAAGTTATTTTTTATACGTATAATTGTGTTTTATGTTTTCTGCCCTTTGCCAATTATTTAAATTGGTAAATTACTACTCTAATTGTATATAGTGTGTAGGGTTAATATTTTTATGTCACTTGACTGCGCACAGTTGCTGCAAAGAGGGGTGTTTGTTTTCTTATCTGAGGACGTGACTTGGAGCTAGAATAGCACAGACTTTGATGAGTTTTCACAAACAAATCCAGTGTTTCCGGTCTGACCTAGCGACATTAACAGATGCCAGGAGCAATTACTAATGTATTTCCCAAATGGATGTTTGAAGTTGCTCGAATTTGGCTAACGACCAATTTCTATGGCGGACAAAGTAAACAGGTATTATTTTGTGGCAAATCATGATTCTAAGTCCTAGTTAATGATATTTCCTGTGTCAAATGTTGCATTGCATGTTTTATATGCGTGCGCAGGTCAAATAATTAATGACAATTAATTATTTACAAGGTACAATCAAGTAGGCTAATCGCGATTAAGTTAGGCTCTAAGTCAATTAATGAACTAGCATTATCACATCAGTATTCATAATCAATATTCCTGTCTAGAAATTTCTTATTTATCGGTGGAATAATTTAAAGATGGAGTAATAAATTTTAACGAGTATCGTATTATTTTCTCATGTGATCTAACTTGTCCATGAACACTACTGACAATATTTTACAATTTAAATGACACAATAATACCAACCAAGCACATTGGGAATCAAACATATTCCCCCTCCCAAACCGATGTCAAATGACAGAACCATCTCTACTCCCACCCACCCTCTATTGGATATTTAAGGTTATTCCTGCTCAATATAAATTATTCCATTAATTCTTGTCGATGTGAAGAATGTATAAAAACTACCATATGTTATTATACTGATCGGACAATGTAGATACACCACATAAACGGTGGTACAGTAGTGGAGTGTTCGCTTACTAATCCAAATGTTGCCGGTCCAATTTTTATCAATCCTTATCCTTACCTATCAAAACCATGTAAATTGACTATATTAAGTCAAATGTTATTGGTTAAAAAACCCGGTAGTCTTAGTAGCCAGACTACAACGGGTACCACCGATCACTATAGTTCACATTTTGCTGAGGCGTAACTCTAGATTAGTAGTGACTAAGCTGGACCTTGAATAATAGGTCACACATTTTACGCTCTAGGTTCAACCCCTTGGGTTCATATTCTTAGATCCTAAATTATTCAACGATACCTTATGGGTACTTGCACAGGGTGTGTTGGCCTACCTGGTTTCCAGAAACGTTGGACGGTTCCTCAAGACAGTCGAGGTTGTGTCGGGTGGAAGATGACATGACGGATGTCCGACGTCATCACACCCTAGGCCAGGGACCTAGGGTCCACCATGGTCTGGAAGGACAATCACATTACATCAATGTTCACTAGGGCACCCCTGGAACCTTAGGATACCTCTAGGGCCACCAAAAGACCTCCGGGACTTATACATTAGATATCCTAACTGAAATCCGAAGGATTCGCGTAGCACTCACACACTTCACAGCGATTAGGGAGGTCGGCCCCAGCCCTGTACTCGCTTACACCGACTCTCTCCTCCCGCACTTCCTAGACTTCCTGGGGTCACACCACAGGGGATATCACACACACTCGCATCCTTTGTGGAAAACAGGGTAAAAACAATACGACGGGATTTAACAGCGTGAAAATCGACGACGGGCACTGACACCTGCAGACGCTCGGGGATGTTCGGGCGGGATCGGGAGTGCTCGGGGAGTCTATCGATCCCTGCGAAGGGAAGGAGGTCATATCACCTGAACTTGCACCCGGGTTAGGGCGTGTGACCTTGAGCACACCCTAGCACGGCCTTGTGATAAGGGATACAGTATGATATTGATATATGATAAGGCTAGGAGCTACAGAAGTGTTTGGACGTAGCACTTCCAGAAGTATAATTAAGTCATCAGTGATAAGCACATTTTATAAACATTTTCTAAAATAAAACTTTTAAGATCCGAAGGTGTATGTAATGAAATTGATCATATCATACATAAAACTAGCTTGCAATAAACACTCACACCATAGCAAATCCAAAAGTCGTAAAAGGTTTACGAACCTTTCCAGGGTTCGGACAGCGTTTAAAAAAGACCCATGATGTCTCAAAATATTTTGTTTCAGGCGCTTGCATAGTCACTAAAACAAATTACACAATTCAGGTTTCTTCAAAGAATTTATCGGTACAAAGGGTACCCAAGGGAAGAAAAAAATATTAACTAACAAATTATGTCTTTTCATTTTCAGTTTTGCAAGTAAATAAATTAAAATCAGTACTGTATACATAACTCATAAAAAACATCCATTTGGTCACTCAATAAAGGGAAATGTGGGGAATTAGGCTAAATAATATGAGAAGTATGTCCTTTCAAGTTCCAGATTTTTAAGCACAGTAGATAAATTATAATAATATACAATAAGCTAACTTTTAAAACCCCCCATTTGGTCAACCACTCCAAACTAAATATCGAGACATTTTGTAGTGGCATTTCTCAATTTTTCCTAGAAAATAAACCAGACTTGCTACGAAAGGCACATTATTCCAAACGTGTTCTATTGTCTAGTTCAGCATGTTTAGCAATGCTGTAGGTATGTAATATTAATATTTTGAAGCCAACAGTGGTACGCGGGGACGAACGAGGAATGCGTTCCTGGAATTAGGGGAAGCAAGGACTATGCACGAGGCCTGATAGCCCCAAGTAATGGCAATTGCATTGGAAATGTTGCAGTGCATAATAATTTTCTGAATAAAATGTACTAGTGTATTTGTTGCTCGAAATCGAGCAATTGTTCAGTAACGGTATTATACAGGAATTATTTTAAAACTAATTACGGTCATAATTTTCGATAGGCTTAAACTCAACTTAAAAACTGATGTAACTAATCCAGATATGCCTACTCGCACTGTTAATAACAGTTTAAATTAATAAACACTTCTTGTAAATATTATACAATTTTTCAGAAGCTGGCCTTGTTTTTTAGTGATTTCTACAAATATTTCCAGACTTACCCATAGCTGTTTCCAGTTAACATTTCTTGTATGTATCCATTTGATCTGACATTAGGCAAGTTTACTTCACCCCCGTAACAACACGATGTGCATATTCTCCGTGTATTTTTTCACTCCAAAATAAGTTGCATAGCAGAACTGGCAAAGTTATTCATCTCTCCAAGTGAGTGTGTATCTGGATTCCTTACTGGGACCAGGCCTATCTTATTCTACTCTTTTCATACACATAAAATATATCTTATAAATTACTGTCTCCTCCTCCGGTTTTCAATATTTCGTCTTTGAACTGGAGGCATTTTCTGTTCTTCCAACGAAACTGTTTACATTGGTCTATAACCTCGAATATTACGAACATCAATATTTACTCCCAAAAAAGCTGCTGAGTTTCTTTTTATCAACAGCTGTTTTTATTAATTTGTTCTATGTAAATATTATGGGGAAAATCCGACCTTTGAGAGCGCCTCGCACCCTTAAGGGTGAGAACCTTTAAATTCGAAAACTTATTGCAAAACTAAAAATTGAGGTGAATTTTTTGACATCTCAAACGTTGAAATTGGTCCATAAATTAATAAGGGAGGAGTAGTGTTCACAAAAACTGCTTCCCTAGATTTAGACATTACGCTCAAGTGTAAAATTAAAACAAATAAGAAATTGACCGTCATTTATTGTAGAGAGTTTGAGTTATTTTTTTTTAAATCCTGTAAACGATAAAAAAATTACATAACGTAACATTTAATTCTCTAGGATTAGCAAACTTGCTAGTTTTTTTTTTATATCTGTGAACAATCCCAATTGATAAAATCCCAGAAAACATTCAGTAATTTACTATCAAAAGTCGAGTCTCTAATGTTAAAATACCTTTGATAATTACCCAACACGAGTAAGACGCAAGTCTTAGTTTGTTTTGAAGCAAAAACACAAACAAAGTAGAACGTAATTACACAAATTACCTCGGCCTTCCCGCCATTATTAACCAATTAAGCTTTTAGCGGGAAAGTGTGATAATTAGGCATGCAGGCAATAAAACACTCGTACTCTATAAGGAATAATTGAAACTCTAGAGGAAAGAGTGTTCTTCATCGCACACGTGTTCTGAGACGTAGTACTGTACTTGAAAGTATTTTTTTTTATGTTTAGGGAACTCAATGTACATTGTACAGAATATGAAGCATTGTTCACTAAATGTAAAGGTGTATGCTTTTGGTTTTGTATATTTATTCTTTACTAGAGGTCGTCCCCAAACGAAAACTCGACCAAAAATATGTAATTTATTCACTTCTCTATTTTCACCCCACTCTGTAGATAAAACGTGTGATTGGACTTTCTTTCGATTGTTTTGATTTTATGTTTATATTTCGTTGTTATTTTGTCACCAGCATAGCAACCCATAAACCTTATGTACATTTTTTTAAATTTTAAATTCATTTTGTATGTTTATTATTGAGCATATTTTTATTTATAAAGGTATTCTGCACATCTACATGCAAATATCTCTCTTACAGTATGCGTAGGGCCTATATTTTCCCTGCGATGCACACGAGCTGAGAAAAAAGGTTTTAAAGAGACTGTCTTTTAATATATAGATTCCTGTAGCTTTCCTTTCAATCTTTGTGAACCTTTAGGTAAGTACTAAGTAGTTTGGTTGTAAATTTTAAAGACCCGTCAACAAACTAATAATTCTTTCAAGTTTGTTTAAAAGGGTTTGGTTTGTAGATGGGATACCGGTATTTATGATTTCATACATTTCGCAATGAATATTTTCTTAAAAGTCTCGTGTGTAACTTAATGAAATAATCTCAACAGGTTTTAAAGCTTAACATCATCATAAGGATGATAAAAGGTATTTTTAATACGATCGGTCAAATATATGAATGGATTCCGATGACGTAAACGTAGCTTCATTACCGTACACGTCCATTACACAGAAATATTTGCATAATACAGTGAGGATCACACGAGTAGTACTATAAGTTTCCGTGTAGTACTATTAACTTATCAGCTAGTGAAAATCATTACTCTAATCATTCAAAAATTCAACAAAAGTTGACATGCATTGATACGATATCAAGCATACGTACTTTTAGCAATTAAATTACTTATTTTAAGTAAACTCGCTGAATAGACTTTAATTCGTTTGTTCTAAGAACAGTATAATCTAATTTGTAAAATGTACTAATCGGAATAACATGATAAATCAAAAAGAGTGAATTTGATTATGACTCATTTGGAAAAAATAATCATTCCCAAAACCAACAAAACAATCACTGTACACATATTTTTGTTTTATTTGTTGTTGTAAACAATGTAGATTTTATTAATCTCTAAAACAATAAGCTTTAGTAGAGGTTTATGGTAATGAGAACAACAAGCAATAGTACCAATATTTTTGCTTAATATTTTTACTGTAAACAATATAGATTTGACCACTCTCTGAAACCAAATTTTAAAATGTTTAGCTAGTAAAAAGGATTACGTAATAAATTATGTCAAAAAGATGCTTGTTTTAAATTACAAATTACATATAAGAATGTATTATTTTGTAAATGCGTTTGTTGATCTGTCTGAGTTTGACTATAGACATAACATAAAACGTGCAAACAACTTAACAATGCCTGCTGGCCGTGGGGAGAGCAACTGAACATACAATTCTCATTATCTTTGACTAAAGAGAGGGGCAACTTGTTAATAAAAATTACTTCAATTCACTTCCTAGATCTAGAAAATCGAATTGAAAATCATTCAAATGTACATTAGTGTAATTTGATCACGTATACACAGTGATACAGTTGAAGTATACGCAATGATTCAACGGTATTCAAAATGAATTCAGACGGCTACTGTACCTAAATAATGTAGTTATAGCCACAGAGCACTTCACCAATTAATTAACGAATACATCTCGAATTAAGATAAACACATGTTCTTCTATGGAATGAATCTACGTAATTTTCTCTACGCTATGGAAACGAATCTACGCATTTTTCTCTATGGAAACGAATTTACGTATTTTTCTCTATGGAAACGAATCTACGTATTTTTCTCAATGGAAACGAATCTTTCAGTGCTCAATTCGGTACTTCCACTTAAATTTGATGTTTGCAAAACTGATTTAAATCTATTCTACGATATTAGTACAAAGGTGGAGATCAATGATACTGAAGTGAGATCAAAGGTGTCAATTTGTGTTTTATGCTTAATTTTCTTTTGAAAATTTCTCGTTTTATTCATAGACTAATTATTGTTGTTGTGATAATATTGGTCGACAATGATCCTGTAAATAATATTAACAGAAAAAACGTTTATTTAAACATCAATTAATTACCGTACACGTACACTTAAAAGAAAGGAAATCAATTTTATTTAGCATGACACAATCTCTTAGTTATTTTAGATTGAATGAATAAATTGTTAGAGGAATAGAATAACCATTCTATTCCATTCCATTCCATTTTATTTCCATTCCATTGACTTTAATCATGTGTGATTTTATTAGTCTAATGAATGTTTATAAGGCTGGGAAGATTTTGGATGATTATATTTACGGTAATAGGTTGTTAACTCAAACTAGCTATTACCCACGGGTTTCACCCCGTTTTACTTCATAAGTATAAAACTATTGATTGGTTAAGTTAAGCTGAAATAAACAAAACAGAATACAGTAATACAAACAAATAAACACACTTGATTTTAATAAGGTAATACATTGAAAGAATAACAGACAAATAATTACAGCTAAGGTATTTTTAACATTAGGTATATGGAAAGTTCCCTTTAGAAAGCATTTATGAAATAATGGATAGTTTAACGCAAGGTTTCTCGTCATGACGAACATTTTAAGTGTACGGTTTATGGGGGTGTGACTTTTAGTTTTCTTAAATGTTATGGTGATTTATATATGGATAAATCAACAATACGATTATAGTTTGTAATCCTTTGGCTGTCTTTTTGAACAAAACATTATGCAAAAAAAAATTGAAACATGGTTGTAACTTTTACTGTTAGCTGGTTTGCTGGTACTACAACCCTCTTGTTTTCGCTATAACTCCTCAACGCCTTGGGGGGGGGGGGGGGGGGGATATAAAAGCAGACGCGATGTCATCTTTATGAGCAGTTATTTCCATTTTTGATCATGGACCATGGTTCCATTCACAGGTTTAATTGATTCTTTCTTGCGTATTATCATCTTTATGAGCAGTTATTTCCATTTTTGATCATGGACCATGGTTCCATTCACAGGTTTAATTGATTCTTTCTTGCGTATTATCATCTTTATGAGCAGTTATTTCCATTTTTGATCATGGATCATGGTTCCATTCACAGGTTTAATTGATTCTTGATTCTTGCGTATTAGTATTGAATATTAATTATTGACTGAGTAGGATCGCGCCACTCATCATACACTCATTTCCATTCATACTTGGCTTAAAATACCTACTTTGTTTGGTCGCCATTTCAAAGAAAAGTATTAAAAGTAAGTAAAGTATCCAAGTAAACAATTTACTGTGGTAGCTGGTTCGATTTATTTATATTTATTAGATTGGTCCAGATGCTATGTTATTGGGTTATTAAATCAAACCTAAGGAAAATGTTAGATGGTAGCAAGACTATCCCCTTTGAAAACCCCTGAACCTAAAAACCCTGAAAAAACCTATAGAGTTATGAGACTAGTAGAAAAGATACCAACGTTTATCTATGGTAAAAAAATCTAAACCTTAGATATTAAAATTCTTTTGCAATTATACTAACTAAACTCAATACTTCAATATAATTACTTCAATTGATGGACAATGAGATAAATAACGGAGAAATAATTCACAGCGCATAACAATATCAATAACTGTATTTACTCCGATGCAGCAGTTAATGTAATAGAGAGGTTACGTAACGATCTTCACAGCAGTTGTTTTGCAGTCGGCTCTAGACGCCATCACGATTTACAGCGGCGAATGCGGCGCCATACAGTACGGACTTACAAAAGTACTAAAATCGATAACATGAACTTGCTCGTGGGGCGATCTAGGGTGGAACTGGGAGTGAATGACCGGCTCTTACTGACATTTCGTTTCTCTTATTCCTCCGCTGATTCTCTCAGTTTTGTTTGTGCAGTTGGTAAAAATGTGTACGCAATTGTGGCAGTTTTTCTGTTGTAATTGCAGGCTATTGACTTGAGAGGGCGGTTTTTAGCTCCACAATATAAATCGAAAATCGAAGTTTCCGGTACTTATATTTTTTGATATCTTATGTTTAGCGTATATCGCTTAATTAAGTTTATTGTTTTTAACCAGAAAATTAAAAACAAATACTGACGGGATAAAAAAGTGACGAAAAAGCAACAATGAGTGCTTGGTTTGCTGACGTTTTCGCGCCCGCGGAATAACTCCCAGCTGTGAGTCACAGGCGTGTAAAGGAAGCGGACAATAAGACATTCGATTGCGCCAAATCTGAGCAGAGAGCAGGGCGAGTGCCGTGCTAGAGGCAGAGGGTGTGAGTGTGTGTGTACAGAGGAGGAGGTGGCAACGGTGGTGCGGTGGTGGGACGGGTCTATCGCATCAATCGCTACGGTTTGGCACTGCCAGTCTAGCATCCGTGCGCAAAAGCGCCAAGTCGCGCGGGCCTTTCCGTCACAATCGTAGGAGTTTATTACTAAAAAGGTGGGATAATAAGTGTTATTGTGTCATTTATCGCATAACATCGGTTTAGTGGTCGCTGTCATTTATTATACTCTGTGTGTGAAGTGATTCTAGTTTTATTATTCGCGAAAAAAATATTTATTGTGTGCAATTGTTTTGTGCAGCCATCATGGCTAAATAGTGTACCACACCGGTGTCATTACTGTCTGTTTAGTATGTTATTAATGTGTTATTGATTATTTTAGATAGTTTTTCGAATGCACATGATGATTTAGTGAGGTTTTAGCATTTGTATGAAAGCTGTCAATAATTGCAATAATTTACGATTTCGAATGGCCATTGGCTAGTTGCAATACATCTCGGTGATGGGCTTGGCAGCGCTGAATAGCCTACCCCTTGCAGGGGGAGGGATGAAACAAAAGGGTGGATCTTAAATCAGAATTATTTTCACTGCTCAGTTGAAAATTTGTGAGCTCTCTTATAGATAGGTTTTGAAATTTGTTAGTTGATAGACAGTTTGTAGTGGTCAATTTTGAGGTTATGTTATTGTGGTTTGTTGATATTTGACATAGATTTGAAGTTTGATAATGTAAGTTACTTAACTCAAGAAGATTGCACTGACTCAATTTTTCGTAACATTAAATCAAGTAGTTTATAAAATATAAGTTAGGCATCCAGGCCTAGACCTAATAGCTGAGTTTAAACTTCTGAAATACACTTTAAAACGTAGAAAATATTAATATTTGAATAAGTTAACTCAATAGGACCTTCATAGGGTAGTAACTTAATTTGAAGTTTAAATTTACCTACCATTGACATTTTTAGTAGGTATCAAAAGACTAACTAAGAATTCTAGGTGTAGGTTTAATAGTAATTTATTTCTTGAATTGCACCATTAAATATTTATTCAAGGGTCGGATTTGATTGACATTTTTGTGGTTAGGTTGTAGATGTTGGTGCAGTGGTTAGGTTAGGTAAAGCTCAGTGAATACTAATAGTGTGAAGATAAACCCATTGTTGATTTTACCAACCGTATTGAACAATTGTCTAAGATTTAATATCTAAGCCTATTCTTAGGGATTAAACTTAGTTTTTAACATTAATTGCATAAGCATAACATTAACGTTAATTGCAATCTAGTTTCATTGCTTCAAAATTTGTCTACAGGTAATTTAGTTAACGTACAGCTCTGTTGAGTGTAAAAATTTTGTAAATTTGGAAAGTTTTTCCCAGTAACCTACCTACAATAAAAAATGTAACTTTTTCTGGAAAAGAACAATGGCGCCCCAACTTAGGACTACACTCTCAATCTAGGGATTTATTTAATTTGATACGTAAAAAAATAAGTTAGGGCCTAAGTTATGTAAAATGTGATGTGTAGGCCTATATTCTCTTACCACAAAAAGTTTTTTTTTTTTTATTATTGTCAGGATATTCTTTCTTTTTGATTTAAACTACGATAACTTATCTTGACTAAAGATAAGAGAAAGACAAGATCCTCTTAGAGTAAGATACATGTTAAGTTTACAAATATCAAATTAGGCCTAGATTAACACAGATTTATTTTTTGTTGCAGATATTAATGGAAAGCAGAACCACATTTACAAACTTCCGAAGCCTTGTTTACCATTAGGACATAAGTTAACCATGTACCTACAAGCAATCAAGATGATCCAAACTACTGTTGTGATGTTATGCAATTTCAGAAGAAAGTGGAGTTTTACTTTGTTAATTTAAACTGTAAAAGTGAAGTTTATCGAGTGCCAAGTTTAGTTTGTGTTTTAAAGTTATAGCTATTCGCTATTGTGCAGTGCTGTGATGGGGGGTATTGATAATTCTGAGCAGCAATACTCGCTGCGATGGAATGATTTCCACGCTAGTATTTTATCTTCATTTCGTCATCTGAGAGATGAAGAGGACTTTGTAGATGTTACATTGGCTTGTGATGGCTGTTCATTTACAGCGCACAAGGTTGTTTTATCTGCCTGTAGTCCCTACTTCCGAAGTTTGCTCAAGGTAAGTGTCACAAAGAATTAAAATTATATTTAACAAACTAAGTAAACTTATTGTTTTAGGCTGTGTGGAGCAATTTAACATGATGAGCCCTCCATTGTTGCCAGATCTAAGTAACTTATTTTAGTCTGATAGATTGTGTCAAAATTAACCATTAAAAATCAAGTTTGTAAAAGTCTTCAAGGAATCCTGAATTGGCAAATGATAGGAGATTCAGAACACCATAAGTTAGTCCTTCCTACATCAAAACAAATTCATTAAGATCCAATCAATCCATAAATAAATTGGGCGATGACTTGTGAAAGTCCTAACGTGTAATTGTTTTTTTTTTAAAGATCCGTTCTCAAGCAAATACATTTTTAACATCCCGGTAACTGAAATAACCATTATGTTGTCTTAAGTTTAGGTCTATGTCAAAATAAAATTTATGGTTAAGTTATTACAGTTCTCAATTCTGAGTGTGGGTTTTGTAATTCAAGCTAAACGAAGATCAAAATTGAGCCCTAATGTTTCAAACACATTGTTAATCTTCCTTGTTTGATACACACTGGTAGGCTAAGTAAGAGTTACACAATGATTTTAAAGGATTTTGAACGTTGAATAAGTTTATTTTAAAACTATGCTGAGGATAAATAAATAATTTGCTACACAAGGTAAGTAAATTGGCATTGGATCATGTATTTTAAAATTTGTATTGACTTCATTTAAAATTACCAAGCATATTTCGTTTTACATTTTTATTTTCTCTGGTATTGAAAAAATACTTAAGAAAAAATAGTCTAGGGCCCTACAGTATTTTTATCAGAACTTAAACTCAAAAGTTGTTCAGAATTTTTCAAGACTAATAACTCGCTTTTGTTACCATGGTTGGAAACACAATATCTTTAACTTTTATCCATGCGTTGAAGATTTTTAGAAACATCATATAAAAATATTTGGGCGCATAGGCCCATTATGTTGTGATAAAGAGTTTCAAAGACTTTAACTACCGGTACCACCATACCGTACATAAGTTTGAACTATTTTTAAACAAAAGCAAATTGTTGACACACATTTGTTATAATATCAATTTAAATTCTAAGCTAAGTTATAAAACAATTTATTTGTTGATTTACACACACGCACACTAGGCCTATTATAAAAGTTCCAAATGTGTGAATATAACTGGCCTAGAACACCATAAACACTAAACTAAATAAAAAGGCATAAAATCACAAAATCAAGCAAATTATTAAATACCTCTACCTATTGTTGTTAGCCTAAGTTTTAGACACATTTCTAGTTTAAATTTCTTTAAACGGACAATTTAAATAAGTTTAACATGTTTATTTGGAGTTGTTATCATTTTAGTTCAATAGTCGTTGAAGCTTTTTTAACCATTCTTCTTCCAAACAAAATTATAAGTAAACACTAAATAACATCCCTACTTATCTATTCCAAGAAAAAATGTAAAAATAGTTTAACTTAAATATTTTTTTAGGCTTAACTTAAGTTAGGTAGCTGTTTCTGAAAAAGTAAATATCGTTAAGGGTACCAGTAACTTAATATAATATTATATTCATCAGAATGCTTGTTTGAAATTGTCTTACTTTTTTGTAAGTTTTGAGAACAGTTTTAATAAATTACCTTGTTATTTTGTGTTGCCTGAAGATCTTGATGTTTTTGATTCCTGATGCGCATTTCGCCACATGTTGTGGCATCATCAGAGTTCACTATGCTACGCTTGTCAGACTATGCTACAAGCGTAGCATAGTGAACTCTGGTGATGCCACAACCTGTGGCGAAATGCGGATCAGGAATCAAAAACATCAAGAATTTCAAGTCAACACAAAACAAAAAGGTAATTTTCTTATTGATGACTAAGCCAAAAAACTTATAGGACTGCCTATACTAACTTACTACCGGTAGCCTTTATTATTATTATTACCTGGAATACTGATGAAATACATTTTCAATATTTTCATGACTGTTATTTTCAAGCAATAGAACCTAAAGCTAATGATTTGAGAAGTAATTTTTATTAAGTTAGTTTTGAATTTATTTGCTTAAGTTAAATTTATTACCTTTTAAAAGAAACTTGAACACTAAACTTATTATCTCTGAGTGAAATTGGGTACTTAAAAGTAAACTTAAACTTGGTCCAGGCCTAAATATATTTTATTAGGCTACTTTAAAAACACATATTTAGTTTTTTTTTTTAAATTATATTTATTTGCCGACACACCATTATATGAGATTTTATTTTTGTCTTTGAATAAAAATAACAATAAGCAAACATTGAACTAACTGTGATATACTAACTAAACATCAAACCATGGGTTTAAACAAATTAAGTTATCATTTAATTTACGTAATTCTGATTGTTTAAAAATAATTACCTTCAAGGGGTTTTTTACTCAACCATCTACAAGTGGTTTGATTGTTTCTTCGACTTCACTTTCTTGGGAACACAATGGACATTTGACCCTATGTTATACCACAGAAAACATACTACTATAACCCAGAATGCCAACCGCATGGTAAAAAGCATTAAGCGGTTTGAGAGAGCTTTGCCTGTCAATCCGTAGGCAGCGCCACCAGCGTTGCTATGCTATTGCATTCTGTGGTTATACCCTATGTTGGCCACTGCTATTTTATTTTCATTTGGTAAAAATATATCTGCCCATATAAATTTTCAGTCCGTTCTCAGTGTCAATTTTGACAATTTTAAATGCAATAAGCAAGTTAGATATTTTGTATTTTTTCAGGCTAATCCATGCCAACACCCTATAGTGATATTAAGAGACGTTCGCGAGCAGGATATGGAGGCGTTACTAAGGTTTATGTACAACGGAGAAGTTCATATTGGACAGGAACAACTCACAGACTTCCTGAAGACAGCTCAGACGCTACAAGTCAGAGGGCTCGCGGACGTCCCGACCAAAGATCATCAAAAACTTTTACCAGTAAGTACGGTAATTTAAAATCATAACAATGTGCACAAGATAGTTAACTTAGCCTGGGACAAATAGCCAAGCTTAATGTCGTAGAAACATCGTATTGGTCCATTGGGCTATTGGGATCCTCACAGTAGATTTAATCCCTCTGAGATTACGTATGGCATTTTATGTTTCAAAATTTTCAAGCCAATATATTACCTCTTCTTACTGTAAAACTGCAGCTACAAAAAGGAGTTGTAACATAGGTTCTTTCAAGGGCTGTATGGCGGAAACTGGAATTTTTCCACCTTTGAGACCAACTCCAATAGATTTCTTGTTGCTTAATACCCAATGATACAGAAAAAAATAGAAATCCTTGGACGAAAATAAAAGTTTGTCTGTACACATGCTTGTTTTAGAGTTAGGTACAGGATTATTGTAAGATTTTGATGAATATGTCATTAGATTAGAGTATCATACGCCTTGGTGGTGACTTTTGGTAATTTAAATCTAGATTACATCTAGGGTACACACAATCTAAAAAAAAACTCAAAGCATCTCTTAAACTTATGCTTAAAACTCTATGTTGTCTATTTTTAAAGCAAATCTATTTGCCGTAGGGACAATAAAGTACCGTAGCCTATTTACCATGTATTCCCAGTGCACACAACAATCGTAATCATAATTTTTCCCCTTAACCAGAAACTATACTCTTTAATTGCCAGTCTAACAAGGTTAAATTACACCCACACATTCTTGTGATAATTTTTAATTGTTTGAACAAGAACATAATTAACCGTAGAAGCATATTTTAACATAAATGCAGTAGATGCTACATTTTGTAACAGGGCTGCCGCTTTGACTTTGTAGATAATTGTGAATCGTTAATTGTATAAACAACATAGTTAATTGGAGGGCACAGCATATTTCAACATAACCAGTGCAGCAGACGCTAATCGCTCGTACATGAAGGCCGCGGCTACAGGCTGGTATTCAATCGTTAATTAACTTTCAGCATGAGTCGTCATTTGCATTCTGCTCTCGTGACATCACACTTTCATCACTCGGCAGTGTCATGTCTCTCAATTGCCGAGTTACTTTTCGCTCCGCGTCAGTCCATGGCGTACTTCACTTGACTTGTCCAAAAATAGATTTTGTGAAATGTTCTTCAATCTTCAGTGGAATTTTTATAATTTTTGTTTTTTCAAGAAACAGTTCAATTTCTGGTTTTATATTATCAAACGTCTTTATAGATTTAAGAAATCTTTTGAATTTGTTTAGCAGTTTAAATAAATCTCAATTGAATTAATAAATCGGTATTAATTTATGGATCTGCTTATTCCATGCTGTGCAGGAGTTTAACACGTTAAACATTTAATTTTGAAATAATGTTTGTATTTAATTTAATTCAACCAATAAATGATTTACCTATACCCTGTACTGTACTTGAAATTACTCTAATTCTAATATAAAGATAAAATATTACAATAGTAAGTAGTAAGTATTGCATTTATTTATTTACTAAATGCGCAATAGGAAATTTCTTTATCTTGAACCAATAGAACATGTTGTTGGCGATAGTTAAAAAAGATTAATAATACACACTGATGGTGAAATACAATACAAACTGGATAGGTCACAATATGTTTTTCATTTAAAGCCGATTAATTGGTTTGTACTGGCAATAGATTTTAAACAAACGGTAAAATAATGACTTGACATTGTTGTTACATGACTAATGAAACATGAACTTAATTTCACATCACTTATACAAAATATAATCTAATTAAATTGCAATTTGTGTTAAGTATTTAATCAGTGAACACACAATAACTAAATAAATAAATGAATTATTTAACCTAATTATATAGTCACATAACATTTTATTTGTTGTAATTCTATTCATCCCAGAAAGTCTTGTAATTGAAATGCAAGGGATCCCATTTTGTAACTTTTATTCGAAAATGCACCTTATAAATAAATACCCTTATTTGTAAGAAATAGAATAACCAGTTTAAAACTATGTTTAAACTAGGTTTTAGTTGTATTAAAAAAAATCAAAAAACACAGTACCATTGACTATTGAAAGACAGTACTTAACATAAGTAACATACCAAAGTCCCAAACAGTTCTTTATTACAAATAAATAAGAGGACTAAGTTTTTTCCGTCCAACACACAGGATTTTTTTGCTTATTCACATTACAAAGTAGTAGTTGTTGTTAATTATCGTCATTGCTGTTTACTTGTGACTAATTATAAACGACATAACTTAGGAATTTGTTGGTATTCATTAATCTTTTTATTGTTTTTTGTATCTTTACAAAACCATCTGTAGGAGTGATATATTTTTGGAACTGACCTTTTAAAAATAACACGTTCAGTCCAATCTGACTTTGTAACAGAGATAAATTTTAAGTGATGACCTCGAATATTTAAGTTTTATATATAGCCTAGTTGCTTTTGTAATAGATTAATCTTTTAGTTCTTCAGTAAATGCCTTAAAATAGTACATCATTTTAGATGCATCCTTTAATAAAGCAAAACAAAACACTTAAACAATAAAACATTCTATGCTGTTAGCTTTTCCTGTGATATCTCCATAACTTGCTTTCCTATAGAACCTTAGATATCTTAAAGGCTACTCTTGAGATAATTTACTTACATTATGATTTCAGTTTAGTTCTTCATTTCAATGTTCTGACTTTCTTCCAATTTATTCACCATACTAGATTGTAATCTAAGATCTGAGTTAAAACAAAAATTAAAGTAGGCCTATATAATTATATAAAAATGTCGTAGCCTGGAATTTATGTTTACACTGTATTTTATACGTGATGTTCAAAACTCTAATAGGCCTAAATGACTTGAGTTGCAACACAATTAACTTGTACATCCTGTTTGCCCTCGACGACGTACGGAGTATGAGAACGTTGCAATTGCGTAATGAGCAACAACCGGGCCAATATAAGAGGTGGAGTGATTCAATTACAGAAGGCATTGTAGTGGATAATAAATGCTTCCTCTGAGAAGAGGCTGCAGCGTCTTGCGACATCTGACATGTGTGGCCTACTTGCCTAGCGTAGAGCGTGGCGCTGGCACACCCACACCGCGACATTTGGTCAAATCACTGTTTAGCGGGGAATCGAGAATTGTAACTCGTTAAGGTTCGGAATCTCTTTAGTGTCAAGTCAACATTACATTGCTATGGACACTGTCAAAGAAAACAAAAAAGGATAGTACAATATGGTATAAAAGTAAAGTGTACAATTTACTAGTGAGATAAAAAAAATTAGGCTACAGAATAAAATAATAAATAATATTAATAAAAAAACATGTATGAAACAACAATACCAATAAACTAACAAGAACAATCATTTTGATAAGCATGCATCATTTCGGAATTTTATGCGTTTTGTTGTTTTGAGATTATTTTGAGTCTAGCCATTCTAGTGACAAATTTAACTAACTTTTCCATGTCTTAGCTATTTTTTTTTAATTTCTAGTCAAGTTGTTTGTAGTAAATGCAAACTTTCTGGTTGAGTATGGTTTTCGACTTAACATTCTTGAAGTTTATATTTTATTTTGAAGTGGTTTTAAAAGTTTTCTGATTAAGGTTAGTACAAAGTTTATTATATAAGGGCGTGGCTGGTATAGATTTTGGAACGAGTCTTGAAAACGTTAATTTAAATATTGCTTCCTTTATGTGTTTTGCCTGTGCAGTGTAATACACCGCTTCGTCCTTTAAATTAATAAATTAAATAAGATAATTAATTAGTAGCCAACTTAGTCTGATGATCAGACTGTATATGGAGAATAAATAGAAGGTTTCAAAGGGAGGAAAAAATGTTGATTGTCTTTGTATCAGAGATAGCAAATCCTTAAAGGGTCATACCAATCTCTAAGCTTTATGTTTTTGACTCATTGATCTCTTCAACAATCCTTGACTTAAGTTTAGATTAATAGTTTTGACTTTTGATAGAATTAAATAATCCATCCGCATGTTAAAGTTGTCGCAAATTATCTACATCAAAGTGGACGTAGTTGAAGTAGCCACTGACATATTGCGCTGATGTTAATCTCTGATGACAAATTTGCAGGTTTTTCAACTAAATAAAATCGAAAGAACGTCTTATTGTAAGCTATGGCATCTGTTGTGTGCTATGAACCATCTGGGTAACAAAGAATAAGAAGGAAAATAGAATTTTAGACACTAGCACAATCTATGACTGGCTCACAGAACTGTGTCCTTTTTCAATACAAAATTGATGACAGCTGATCCAAACCCAATCCCATTCCCACATACATGGGATGCATAGTTCAATATCCAAAAGTCAATGCTATCTATATGCCTGTTTATTACTTTTAAAATGTTAACCGTTTTAAAATCGACTAACAAAGTGTTGTTTTCAGAACTCCAACTCTCTTCCATGGCCTGTCGCCAGTGAAACACCAACGTTAGCTGACAACCCCCTGTCGCCCCCGCCGATGAAGCGGAGCCGCAGCTCAGAGCAGCACACGCCCCTCCCCCCCACCATGACACGGTTCTCTCCCTCCCCCGCATCTCTCACCAACAGCCACGGCGGGGGACTGGTCAACAGCCATCATCCCCCCACACCTACGTCACAGACGGGGCCTGAGCCCAGGGACTCTCTGTTGGGACAGGCGCTGGAGAACTCGCAGGCGCACGTCAACAACAATAACACCAGTCAGGTGAGATTGTAGATTGTTACTTTTGAAACGTAGGAGGGTTCGAGCAACAGTTTAGCCTACCTCGCCACAACTACCGTAACTTACGGAGTATTTCCATTATTGTGTTGGTGATAGCAATCTTAACACTGGTGAAGAGAATTAAGTCTACTTAGTACCTTAGGCATTCATGAGCCAATATTACTAATTTGATTTAACATGCTATCAATTGAAACATTGAGATATTTTTTCAGGGTGTATATTTTAAGAGAAGATGAGGGAACAAAGAAGTCACTGACTTAGATCATGTGGTTATTTACCAAAAGGATTGTTTATTAAAAAGTTGGCTAATCAGGGATAGCTGGGTCCAGTTTCATACCATTAAGATTATGATTTTTCAGGATTGAACCACCAACCTAGAGTTTTCTAGATGAGCATAGATTCCAGACAACTATAGTTTACTTAAAAAAAATAAAAACTAAGTTTCTAATAATAACTAAACTGGGTATCTATTGTAAAATTTAAGACTACCAGATCAAACCTGTAAAAACTAATGCATCTTTACGATTTTTTAATAAATTCACTGTTTAGATGGACACTAACAAAATCATAAATTTTTAACAGAACAAGATAAATTAACATATCCAAACTGTTAATATTCTTTAAGGGTACATAAGTTTATATAAAAACAAAGACCCCTGGAAAAATGAGTCCCCTGCAGATAATTGAAATTTCTGCTTGTTATTGAAGGTTTTTATTCACATTTTTAACAAGTCATGTTATTTGCTCATGAGGAAGAAGAATTATCTAGAAAACATGAAATGTAACTCATTGTTTTATCACTAGATAGCCTATCCACTGTTTATTGTTACTATCCAAATCCAGAAGATATTTGTGTAATTTATTTTTATATTATGTAACAGGCTGTGTTATGGGATATTAATGCCAGCTTTTAAAAAACTTACAAAAGTAGTAGGATTCCATGGCTGAAATTGAAACTTGAACTGTCATACTTACCTAAATTATTGCAACATATTTTTTTACTGTCTATTAAAATTGTGGAAGTTTTAGTTATCTCCTAAATTTGTAAATATGAACTCAGGGGTTGATGGCAAATTATTAGGCCTATTTTTTTTTGCGTTACTAGTCCTATCTAGCATATTACACAATTTTTGTACGTAAAATTGTAATAAATAAAATTAAATATTTTTTAAAGAAAAGTGAAATTACTTTGGGTTTTCCCATCCCCATTTTTAAGAGCTTCTTTATATAAATTTACTATACTTTGATTCATACTTTTTCTGATCAGCCAGCCGTTTTACTCCTTGTGGTAAAACATATCTTCCACCCTGTTTTAGATCCAATGTTTTTTTTTCATTGACACTTTCGCAATCCCACCCCATAGTGGTTTTTTGCATCAACCATGTTGTTAGATTGCTTTGGATTTGCTTAAAGTTGCCGATTGCTTCGGATATTTCACCCTTACTTCATAATTCAAAACAAATTAACTCATAACGATTTATACACAAACAGCTAGGTTGATCAAGTTCTTGACGTTTTTGAACCAATATGTGTGTAAATAGCTATGAATACGATTATTACAGGGGATCATAGTACAGAGAAAAAAATGTAAGTTCATTGTTTATTTCATCAGTTCAAAGACTAACAGTGTTTTCAATCTATTTTCAACCCTTAAAGGCGTTTTTGCCAATAATGCCAATCTCCAGGCTTTGTTTCTCTAACCAACTCTGTCGTACAGTTGAAGGGGTCGGACTCATCGGTACACGCCCAGTCTACGGGGGAGGAGAGTAACTCGTCGGGTGATACGGGTCTGAGTGAGAGAGGGGGCAACAACCCGTCGCTGCCTCCGGGTATGGACCTGGTACATCCCAAGTCAGAGCCGCAAGACTACAGTGAACACTCGCAACAACCTCCAACGCCTCACCACAACAACTCGCTGGCTGTACTCGACCCATCGCGCACGCCTAACTTCCCTGCGGCGCTGCTCGGACTGCAAGGTCAATATTAGATTGTTTGTTTTTAATTGACATTGTTGTTGTCAACCCCCTAGCTTAAACTCCAAAATCTTGTAGAAGTCCATAGTAAGATGAAATATCAGTTTGATCTCTTTGGCCTTGTTGTGATTTGAAAGCTCCTGAACAATTTAGTCAGGTAAGCTAGCCAAACCCCAACCCTTAAATAATCCCGATCTATTGGAGTTTTTTAAAGGGGATTTAGTTTGGCTAGCAAATTTTTTAGGGGCGTATAGATGCACAACTTTAACTGTCATTTCTCACCAATCTACAATTGAAGAATCACTTCACTATGACAAAACATTGTTCTGTTGTGCAACCTTTTATTGTGTATCATCTGTAAGCTGCTGAGCACTAACGTAAAGGGATAAAGGGTAGAAGCTAGAAAATTATTTGGTCAAATTAGGTCCAGGGGCTTATGAGCCCAATTAAAGCTTTTAGCCTACATCTTTATGTGACATTTCCCAGCATTCTAATTTTTAAGTGCTACTTTAAAATTAATATCACTGCTATGTTTTGCTAACATTTATTTTGTATCCATAAGTCCTGATCCCATAGATAAGTAAATTACCTAGATGAAAATGATATCTTTTCCAAAATAACTCTTTCTCAGCAACCCTTCTAACAACTTTTTGTATTTACTCTTTCAGAGTTGATAATCTTTTTTTAAGTTTTGATTGCTTCCCTTAAAATAACTTGTTCATCCGGAGGTCACTTAAAGATTTCAAACCCCTAAAATATTTATGGATATGCCTGAATGCCTCAAATAGAAACTGTCACTCGACACAAAAGCAAAACATGTAAAGGTTAATCCTTAACACCCACCTGACTTTGGGGGATCGCCTTCTTTCTTATAAAATTTTCAATTGCAATAAAACATGCAAGCTTTCAATAAAGAAACATTTTTCAATTAACATTATTCTATGAGGCGAAGCTAAATTTATTAAAGGAATCCTTGAACAAAGCAATGAATAAGCTACAAATACTTACAAAGGAATACAAAGAACTCCCCAATTCCCACCTGTTTTAGTTGAATACCTAGGTTAGTTTTGTCTTGTGAGGATGGTGAATCTAATGTATTGTCCTAGGCATCACAGGCCTTCTGCCCGGACCTTCAGGCATGCATAACAATGGACAGGACAGTAGTTTTGGTGAGTTTCACATTATACTCTTTACTAACACTAACACCTTCTGGCCATCAATATCTTTGCTTTATAATCTAATAAACCTGCAATATGTTGTTACAAAATTTAAACATGATTTAAACTTGTTAATTCAACCTGTTACTGTTGTTTGTTTTCTTTTAAAAATCTGCTAAATTTATGTTATTTGATCTATACAGTTAAGGACGAGTGTTTTACATCTTACTAAAAGCTAAAAATGACTGTAATCTTTTTTGACAATTTATTATTTTTACATTTTTATTAATATACTAACTGACTTGGATTTTTATAGTTCATTTTTATGTCTTTTCTACTACCAGACTTTTTCTTGTCTTTTATTCAGTATCCATAGTGCAGTAAAAATAAGAGAAAAATTCCATAAACCTAAAAAAAATTAGCACAACCGGGGAATTTGGTACAGATGTTGGGTGTACCTTCCTTTTGAACATACTAAAAATCCCCTAAAATTGAAGCTGTGCTACGGCCGCCATATTGGAAAATGGCGGCATATTTCTGTATTTTTCGCTATAGTGACTTTATTATTAGAGATACAGGAAAAAGCTAAATATACAAAATGCAGGTCATCTAAAAATACACATTTTTTGTATTTACCCTCTTTCTCTAAACCCAACGGTTTTTGAGTTATTTGTTATTAAGTATATTTAGTTTTTTCTATTTATCAAAAATAGGTGAAACACATGGAAATTGACCGTTACTTTCAAGGATTATGATAATTCATCCCATTTAGTTAAATAGTGTGATACTATAAAATATAAAAATTTAAGCTTATTTTATGAGTAAAACAACGCTGCCACAGCAAACCTGCAGACTCAGCAAATTTATATTTGATTGGATGTTTTATTAATTGTATTTCAATAAAATTAGATTCAACAGTAACCTAGGTTTGCTCCTACAGGTAGGTTATTATAGTGTGTTTTTTTTAGTAAAATATCAATAAATTAGTATAAAAGAATTAATTTTCCAAGTTTGATCATAATAAATCTATAAACAAACAAACTGCAACAGTTACCTAATTCATAATAATAGCATGATACCTTAAGATTTACAATTTACAAATTTAAATATAAAAATTTTGGTTGTGTTTACTAAAACTATGAATATGAAGATAAAATATTAATATGACTATTGCGTACTTTACAAAATATGGTAGATTACCTTACTGCGTACAATATTTTCGGTGATTGGTTCGAATTAATATTACTTAAATAACAGGCTCCATCTCCTTTTGAAAACCCATTTGGTTAATATTCTAATCGTGACGAATAATCGCTATCTTTTTAGTAAACACAACCAAAAATTGTATATTCAAATTTGTAAATTGTAAATTTAAAACTCCCATACTATTCTTATGAATTAGTTAACTGTTGCAGTTTGCTTGTTTATAGATATATTTTGATCAAACTTGGAAAATTAGTTATTTTATAGTAAGGTATTGATATTTTACTTAAAAAAAAAACACACTATAATAACCTTCCTGTAGCAGCATGCCTAGGTACCTGTTGAACCTAATTTTATTTATACATTTTTTAATAAAACATCCTATCAAATGGAAATTTGCTGAGTCTGCAGGTTTGCTGTGGCGGAGTTGTTTTACTCATAAAAAAAGCTTAAATTTTTATATTTTATAGTATCACACTATTTAACTTAATAGGATAAATTATCATAATCCTTTAAAGTAGCGGTCAATTTCCATGTGTTTCACCTATTTTTGATAAATAGGAAAAACTAAAAATACCTAATAACAAATAACTCAAAAACCGTTGGGTTTAGAGAAAGAGGGTAAATACAAAAAATGTGTATTTTTAGATGACCTACATTTTGTACATTTAGCTTTTTCCTGTATCTCTAATAATAAAGTAACTATAGTGATAAATACAAAAATATGCCGCCATTTTCCAATATGGCGGCCATAACACAGCTTCAATTTTAGGGGACTTTTAGTATGTTCAAAAGGAAGGTAAACCCAACATCTGTACCAAATTCCCCGGTTGTGCTAATTTTTTTTGGGTCAAAACATATTTTTACTGTACTAAGATGTTTCTATTAAAGAAGTCACTGTATTAATTTTTTTCCAGTGTTCATTTCTTACATTAGGTAATTTAAAAATACATTTTCTAAACAGCTAATTAATTACAATTGTTACACTTACTAGTTGATAAAAATTAAACGTGTAACATAATGAAGAAAATATTTAAATCGTGGTTACATTACATAAATTAAGCTTCACATTTAAGAAAAATATAGCTTGATCATAAAAAAATTTACCGAAAGCTATATTACATTTCAAACACAGTTTCTAAAAATTGCTTTTTTAAATGGACAAAAAAGTGGCAGTGTTCGTCAGGGGAAATACTTGGGTCGGTTTTCATGTGAATGGTTCGCAAACGCAGAAACAAAGACATTGGTGGCCAGAGTTGCGGAGTGGGCTGGTGTCGGATCTGGTATTGATTGATTTGTTGGTTGTTGATCCAATGTTCTCTGTCGTTACAACTGCAGATGCTCATCTTTACACCCCTTCCCTGTCCCTCCGCTTCTCCCCTCCCTATTGCCCCTCTTTCTCGTTCTTCCATGTGTATAATCCAATTAAGTCAGGCAAAGTAAATTTTAGTGACGTTAATTTGTGTTAGGCAGTTATTATTTGATAATTTTCTAATCATTAGTTTAAGGGTAGCTTAGTTTAAATTGAGTAATTTATCGAGTCAACCTACGTTATAGTACGTAATATTATTTTTTAATTTTACAACATCCAACAAATGGAATTAAAATATTGATTAATTGGTAAAAAGTGGTGTTCCTATGATTTGGTTGAAAATGACTTGCTAGGGCTATTAACATTACAAACATTTATTTATTTCATTTATGTTTATGTATTGAAAAAAAAAACTGGTATTATATGTTTGTTACAATTTTTATTTATTTGTTACAACTATTTTTATCTACAATTCACATACACTACTATTTTACTTATTCAATTAGTCTACATTAAGTCTAGTATAGTTTTATTTGTATAACCCACTGTCATAAACTAAAAAGAAATTTATATTTATTTTTAAGTAGGCCTATACTATTTTTTATACCTCATACATAGTTTACTCTATATTAAACGGTTAACCATAACTTTTCTGTATATCCAAATTAAAATCTATTGCTTTACCTAATAACAGATTTTTTACAGTCTAATCAACTGTAAATGGATAGAGATTTTTCATAATTAATTTGCTGTAGTTATGAATGTGTGTTTGTAAAATAAATTTGCAAAGAAAGAATTTTACCAAAATAGTCTAAAAACTAGTAAAGATATAGCTTTACGATGTTTTGTTTAGAACTGAAATCTAAACTTGTATGCTTATCAGTTTAGTAGCAACTGTTAGAAAAATAAATACAAGACTTTAAGGATTTTTGTTGGGGGTAGCAGGCTTACAACTATACTCTATTCACGAAATATAGGCGGTTTGAGGGGAAGCGATTCCATCTCCTCCACCTCGCCCTGACTTTAAAACAACAGCCGACAGCTGATCAGGACGTGATATATAAGCTAAGCTGAAAAAAGTGGTTTGGGAACAAAATAAAGCTTTCCCTTAAATTGCCTAAATTTTATGTACAGACTATAGCAAATGAAGAATGCTGTCAGTGAAATTTAAATAATAATCCAATTTTTATGCATAGTGTTGATTGTTGTTGTGTTTCTTGTGTCATGAAGTACCACTCCCCAAAATCTTGCTATCCCAACAAAAATCTTTAACATCCAGACTTTCCGCTCTCTGTTACATCATGTTACTTATTTGTTAGTCTCATGTTGTTGCAACTAAGTAGGACCAAATGATTGTTTTAGTTTTATTTTTTAGTCTTTTATGATTTGTTTTTATACTGTTGTGCAAGATTTTCAAATTTAAAAAGTACTTTTATGTACCGGTAATGTAGGATCCATAAGTTTACTACTGGAAGGTTGATGTCAAAGTGGACAAAAGTTAACCAGGATTAGTAGATGTATATGATACATATCGGGGTAGCTGAGATGTTCTAGTGCTATCCTAACAGTCAATGGGTTGCCAGTTAAATCCTGAGATAAAGCAGAACATTTGGAAGGAGGGTAGGGGGGGGGGTGTAATAAACAACTAGTCTTGGTCAAAATAAAGCTACAACAACTTTTTCACTCCATTCTACACTCATCATTTCATATTCAGGTAAAAATATAACCAAATACATCTCCATGTCAGTTTTTAGTGATTTAATGAAATATTCCGTATGAAAAGTTCACAATGGTGCAGTTTGGACAGTTAAAATAGCTATAGGTGTTAGTGTATCTGGTGTGTCTCAAATGAAAATATTTGACAATATGACCAAGTTTTGAAGCAATGGTGCTGTGAGATAGTTGGTGTGTGTTGTCGGTGTCTTGGGTTTGCAAGGTGGCGGATTTACGTGCGGGTGGTTCCAGGGGCTGCGCAGGCTGCGGCGGGTTGGCTGTGGGGCGAACACACCTCCGGAGCCATGGAACCACCCTCCAGTGCCAACAAGCCCGTGTGTCCGGAGTGTGGGAAGGTGTACAGCAATAACAGCAACCTGCGGCAGCACATCGCCAACGTGCACGCCTCCACGCAGGCCTGGGAACTGTGTCAGGTTTGCGGCAAAAGGTTCAAGACCAAGCAGTACTTGCAGGTGCATATGCTTGCCACCCACGGCATACGACAGCGGAAGAGCTACAACCCGTTTTACCAGGGAGAGGTCTCTCAGAATTAGACGGGCGAAACTGATTGTTGGAAAGCTATAGAAATGATCTCTAAGAACAATTGTGAGGCTGTTTTGTAGTAATTGTAATGGATTTTGGACATAATCATCTCACTGATGATGAAAATAGTATTGATGATGAGATGAAAAAAGTATTTAGAAGCATAAAGAAACTAACACTGACACTTACTCACAGAGCAATAGAATTACTATACATTGACAAGTTTAAAATATAATTTTGC